CCCCAGACCCGCTTCCTTCGTATTCTGAAGGGAATTTGTCTTTCCTTCAGGGCTCTCGCTGTCTGTGCAAGTGTCCTATCTCTGACCAGGGTTGAGATCAGCCCAGACTCGACCATCTATCTCCTAGTGGCTTCGACAACTTCCAGAACAATACTCTAGCAGCCATGGGTGGTGGCGGCGGCAGAGATGACGACGACAACCGCATCCATCGGATGGCGATGGATGATCCGGTGGCCTGGTACAAGAAGCCGAATCTGCGCCGGATGTACTTCCTGCTGTTCCCCTGTGTTATCGGCATTGAGATGACATCTGGGTTTGACTCGCAGATTATCAACTCTGCGCAACTCCTCCCGGCGTGGAAAGAGTGTGAGCAGCTTCCTGTCCTTATCTTATCTTTTTTTTTCTTCTTTTCTCTTTTTTTCTTTTTCTTTTTTTCTCTTTTCTTTTCTCTTTTCTTTTTCTCTCTCCCCTTCCTCCCCCTTTTTTCTTTTGTTCTTTTCCTCTTTTCTTTTTGTCTTTGCCCCTTTGCTTTGGACACGACTTACATAGTGCTAACTTGGCCTCTAATTAGACTTTGGCCATCCCACCGGAGCATACAATGGTATTCTCGCGTCTGCCCTCCCGCTCGGTTCCGTCATCGGTCTCCCCTTCATCCCACTTGTCAACGATAACTTGGGACGCAGATGGTGCATTTGGCTCGGATCAGTAGTGATGATATGTGGCGTGATTATCCAAGGCTTAAGCATCAACGGTATGCCTCTTCTTCCGCCTTGACCCCCTTGACCCTCTCCCGACCCGGACACTGCCGTCCACAACACAACCACGATCACCGTTTCCTTGCCTGTTTAGCATACATCAACACAGACGTCTAGATCTACAGATGTCTCTTTCCCCCCTGCCGCCTGTTGTTACAGTACCTAACAAACCAGGCCCGATGTATATCATGGCTAGGGGGATCATCGGCTTCGGTCTTCCGTACGCCATCGTCGCTGGCAGCTGTCTGATATCTGAGCTTGGCTATCCCAAGGAACGGCCCATCCTCACGTCGCTCTTCAACGCCTGCTACTTCATCGGCGCCATAGTTGCTGCAGGCGTGACCTTCGGGGTGCAAAAGCTCCAGAACGACTGGTCCTGGCGCATCCCGTCCTTCCTACAGATGGCCCCCTCGCTGCTCCAAGTCACCTTTGTCTTTTTCCTGCCCGAGTCACCGCGCTTCCTCATGAGCAAGGACAAGATCGAGGAGGCCGAGGCGGTGCTGATCAAGTACCACGCCGAGGGCAACGCGGAGTCCGAGTTCGTGCGGGCAGAAATCCTCGAAATTAAGACGACACTACAGATCGAGATGGAGAACGCCAAGCGGTCGTGGATGGACATGGTGCGGACCCCCGGCAACCGACGACGGCTGCTGATCGGCTCGCTGCTGGGCCTGTTCACGCAGCTGTCGGGCAACTTGGTTATCTCGTACTTCCTGGGCGACGTGCTGCAGCTCATCGGATACACAGACCCTACCTTCCAGGCCCAGTACAACCTCGGCAACCAGTGCTGGTCGCTTGTGTGCGGCGTGGGGGTGGCCCTGGTCGTCATGCGCTTCCGCCGCCGCACCATGTACATGACGGGCATCCTGTCCATCCTCGCCGTCTATGTCGCCTGGACCACGTGCACTGCCGTCTTTATCGTCTACCATTCCGAGGTGGCAGCCAAACTGTGCTTGTTCTTCATCTATGCCTACAGCCCGGCCTACAACCTGGCCTTCAACGCGCTAACTTACAGTGAGTCGGGATTCGTTGCTTGTCGTGACTTGTACAGGGACGGCGTGCTAACAGTCGGCAGCCTACCTCGTCGAGATCTTCCCATACGCCCAGCGCGCCCGCGGCATCGCCATCTTCCAGTTCTGGGGCAAGGCGGCTCAGTTCTTCGGCACCAACGTCAACCCAATTGGTAGGTTCCCGGCGATTGTTTTGTCACCAGCGGCTAGAAACCTATAACTAACATGGCCTTGCAGGCACTGGCGCCATTGGATGGAAGTTCCTCCTCGTGTACTGCTGCTGGATCCTTGTCGAAGCCGTGCTGATCTGGTTCCTGTGGCCCGAGACGTCCGATCGCTCTCTCGAAGAGCTTGCCTTCCGTGCGTTCCTTTTTCTCTTGCTCTGTCGGAGTTTGGCTAACTTTCCTCATAGTCTTCGAGCAGGACGAATATGCTCGCCGTCACGAGAAGGTCGGGGTCGAGGAGCTGGAAGAAAAGGATACTGCCCATGTTGTCGAGACGCAGAGCAGGGTGTGAGGCACGAAACACACACCACGATACGGCCTTCCCCTTGCTTCGGAGTGCATAGGTAGTCTCCTTTCCTCGATGCTGATTTTTCATGGAAGTCACACATGAAGATCCATTACCATGGCAAAATGTGCTATGTGTTCTTCAACTTCTCGCACATGCAGACCTACCTCCGATGATAATATCCGAAACTTGGATTTTCGTCTTGCTTTCATGGACGTTGTTTCTCTCCGCATCCCTTACGGTACTAGTACAGCGTCGCTATACCTCTAACAAAAGAAAGGAAATGTAAGTCTCTAGAATAGAACTCCCCGCCCCCCATCATTAGGTAGTTAGAAAAATGCATGAAACCCCCTTCGCCCCCCAACACTCGTCCATCCGCTACCAATGCTAGGTGCGCCGGGTATCGTCCTATGGCGCGACTGAGAACGACACAAAAACGGGCATTATACCCACTGTCGTTGTATCAAGTGGATCATGCCGGAGCAACTATAAGTGTATATCTGGTAAGCCTTCAACGTTACTCTCTTTTACTACCTTACCTATTCTGAAAAGAGCCCCCGGATCAATGAAAGATACCAATGGAGACAAAAACTCCAGAATCTCAGCCATCCCCACAACCAAGCTCCGAGCTCTACGTACCTATTCTGCCAAGGCATCAACCTGGAACGCCCGAAGAGCGGAGACGGATACACGCATCCGTCTATGGGCGTCGCTTTAGTCCTTAGTGCCGCCGCATTCACCGTTTGCTGTCTCATCGTTAGTCTCTTCAAGAAGTATCCCCACGAGGGCCACCTCGCAATAAGTCTGGTCCGGAACATATTCAGCGTTTTGAACTTGCACCCCGTGTCAACATCCGTGGCGGGCCGGGAACTGGACTCCAAGAAAGTTCGCGAGCGCGGCCCGGTCTGGGGCGGACTGCTATCGCATAGAGTAGCAGTAACGATGGGGGTAGCAGACTCGGCGCTTCGCTGCGGGCTAGAGTCTCCAATCCTGATCCTCTTCACTGATCCAGGTAGGATAGATCACCCGCTACACGTAGAAGCCGCTCCTTGTATCTTGCTTCGGCCCACGCAACTCAGAGCAGGCTAGACGGAGTGCCGTCTTTGTCACCAAAGGTCAGATCGTCGCAAAAGAGGATGTCGACGTGACACGATCACCGACGCTCCTGAGATAGGCTTCTATAGTGGCAATCGAGCGACCCATCCGCACCCGCCTCTCTTTGTCGTCTCGCAAGCTGTATTGATATTCAGCGACCTTGCTGGCTGGGCAGCGTGCTGATGCCGTCAAACATACCTAGTCACCAGAGGTCCCCGAGTTCTTTGCATCTCCAGGGCGGCGCGTACTTCGATCTCACGGCGACTCCATAAAAGCTCGACATCAAAGCAAACACACGTAAGACAGGCTGTACCAAACGTTTATATAGTATTTGTGCTACCTAACACACCAAACATGTCCTAGTCATCGACGCCATCACCAAAATACGTGGCGGGGTCGGCATATACGTCCACCACCATCTCGTCGGGGTCGTTGTACGGACCGGGAGCGCTCTCCTGGGCGGGGGCGTTGTGCGAACGGGGGACGCTCTCCTGGGCGGGGGCGTTGAGCGGACCGGGGACGCTCTCCTGGGCGGGGGCGTTGAGCGGACCGGGGACGCTGACAGGGGCGTTGTACGGACGGGGGAAGCTGACGGGGGCGTTGCACGGACCGGGGACGCTGACGGGGGCATTGTGCGGACGGGTGACGCTCTCCTGGGCGGGGGCGTTGTGCGGACTGGCGCTCTCTTGGACGGGGGCGTTGTGCGGACCGGCGCTCTCTTGGACGGGGGCGTTGTTCGGACCGTTCTGCATCGCAAACACCGTATTAGCGAGGAAGTCAGACATTGTGCGAAGGGTGGTCTTACCCTCCGCTGCCATTTGGCAGCCCGCCTCGCCGACCCGGCGCGGGACGACTGGCTCCGCCGCGGGGGGCGGCGGCCAGGTCCGCCACCCGCCGGCGGGCCGCTCCACCCCAGGGGGTAGTGGTGGTGGACGGAATTCTAGCATGGTTAGCACAGACTGTGACAAAGGCCAGAACAGGACTCACGTGATAATTATACATTGTCCGTAGCTCTACTTCGAGTGGTGTTTGTTTTGTAGGAGGCGGACGACGAGTGGTGTTTCTTCTGTAGGCTGCGGACGGTGATAAAAAGTCAGACGAAAAAAAAAGGAAGATCAGTGGGAAGGCCGACAGATCTAAATAGACGTCCGCAAATCCATTTTACTCCGCTCCTGCTCGCTCTCAGTTCTTTCCATCACACGGCTCATCGCTGGAAATTTCTTGCCCGTATGGCAGGCGCGGCCCCACAAAGTGAGCAAGAACTCACAGGTTCGGAAATTAAACAAGAGTTGTGGCAGTCACGCCCGACCACTGACTTCGAGGTCCGGGGCACCAGCCATGCACTCTCGTCACGTTATCTGTGAAACGCATGAGCTGTTGTTTGATGGGGGTTGGGACCTGGAACACTGCCCTTTCTGACACCACGGAGTCTGGTACTACACTTGGAAGAGGCTGTGTTTCCATGCTTGGTGGGAAACTCGTCTTGAATTGTCTTGAACCATCTTGAACCAGATTACCAAGTGTCGACTACAGGTCCACAATATGATAACTAATGTTGCGTTGCAAACCATTAAGGTGAAAACGGTAGAGGGCAGTTCATGGCTTTTGGTGGAACGCTAATTAAAAAGAAGCCGGTGTGGCTCAGTGGTACCTAGAGCGTTGCGGTCTTGCACGCGTCGTCCGCAGCCTACAAAAGAAACACCACTGGAAGTAGAGCTACGGACAATGCACAATTATACCCAAAGATCCCAGGTTCGAATTCTGGCGTCGGCATATTCTTTTGACGTTTGCAACAGTTAACTTGTGAATTTTTCCTGTTGACGCCGCCGCGAAAGCTCCGCACCGCGGAACCGCCCCCCCTCATCTGGGGCTTCCGGTAACTCTCGGCCGGCAGGCAGCAGTAACGAGCAGCAATAACAATAGCAAGTGGAACAACAACAACCGCCCCAGCCTGCTGGTCTAATTATCCTGTATGATAGAATGCGAGTGCTTAAATGGCGCTGAGAATGCATTTTGAAATTGTGACGTCCTCAGCCAGGGAGTGCAGAATGACGCATGTGTTTACTTCACGGGCGCAAGCATTCGAGACGAGGTCGGCAGATTCCATGCTTGGCAAACCTGGAAGCATGTGGCCACAACTGCGAGGACAACGTAAGGGGAACCTAATAAAGCAAAAATACTTTGCGATGGACCGCTAATAAAACGGCAGGCAGTATGAGCGGTTACGTTCAAGTGCTCCGGCTTCTTGACCTCTAATGCTCGGCACTTGACTTGGCATGGTTGGCGGGCCAACGAGTGAGCCCATGCACCGAGCTCACCAAGCAACTCAGGGGTAATCTTAAAACCGTAGGTGGCAGAGACAGCGAGATTTTGCGATCAGTGAACACGAAGAAGGCGCATTTCATCCACGACACATTGGCAGGATCATACAGCGGGGCATGGGAAGACTTTGATCACATTTAAAAAAAGAAAGCAGCATTTTTGGGCCTCGATGAATGTCTTCGACTGAAAAGCCTCGGTACACCGTCGTGTTTTACGTTACTCGGGAGCTTTTCTCCACAAGTCTTGATAATGCTCGCATTCCCGAGGGTCGAGCCCGAGACGGATGGAGTCTAATACAGTTCCTGAATCACCAGCAGGTCCTTCCCATGTTAAGCAAAATTAATTCTCTCCACTCTGATATGTCGTGATACCGAAGTTGCTAAGGGATGGTGGGTTCCTTCCATATGCAGTTGGGGTGGGAGATTGGCAGCCAGTCCAGAAATGCAAACCAGTAAATACCGGTGCTCCAATGTTGGAAAACTACCCAGTCAGGAGTAAGGTATTTTGGACGTAGCATTATCACAAGATCATTTTCCCCGTCTTAGAGGTCTTTACATACATTAATACGAAATGCAGTGAGCGTCTGGAGGAGAATCTTGGTTGAAGGCTTATGGCGAGCACCCGAGGCTACTGCCTTTGGATGTTTGATGATGGTTGCTCCTCCCCCCCCCCGGGTAACCACTCCCCGCCTGGCGGAAGTCTCGTGGGGTGCTTCTGCCACCAATGGCTGCTCCTTCCCCTTGGGTAACCGATTCAACCCTTCGATGTCAACTCGCCGCTAGCATCCATCTCCCGAGACCCAAGACGCTGCAATCACCATTGTCAGTACTAACCCTTACCAAGATCAGTCAATCTTGCGTTCCAATATATTCGAACCACCAACGACCATTATATACAAAATGGTGTCTACACGCAGTGGAAGCAAGCGCCTTGCCTCTCGGGCAAAAACTCCGGCCTCCGCTAGTCCCGTTGCAAAGAGAATTCGCAAAAACGCTGAGTCTGCCCCTGCCCCAGTGGCAACCCCTGCTGTATCAGAGAATGACCCAGTCGTAGAGCAGATCACCCTGTCCGTGGAGGACGAGGACGTTGTCCCGAACGAGGACGATTATGATGACGGTGACGACTACAACAGCGTCTACGATTCTGCAGACGATACCGGCGACGTCTCCGACCCAGAAGGCGATGAGGAGCTCGAAGACGACTTAGAGCTCGGAGATGATATTGAGGTGGACGACGACACCTCAAATGAACATGGGCAGGCGGTACAGGGCGACGACGCGCCAGTTCCACCGGTCGATCCTGTCCCTCCTTTCACGGGACTGTTCGTCAAGGAGAACGTTGCGCGGTTTCAGGGCCTGATCCGTGCCATGATCCGGTTCATCCATGATTGGGTGAACTCCGACGCCTATGAAAAGGACGGAGGATTGGAGAGAGAGGACCGTGCCACGGCACCGAGCTTCGCGCGGTATTTCACCAGCCACTCATATGAGACCATTTGTCAGACCATTCTCTCCATTGTTGGCAAGACAGATTTAACCGAGAACCCTGAATCCTACGAAACACGATCACTCTGAGAGTCTGAGTGGCTGAAACAAGGCCATGCAGACGTCTGTGGATCGTGTGGGGCTCCGCGGCCAGCTGACTATCGTGCTCATCATTGGATGGGCTTCTGCGGAACGTCTCGTTGCAAGGCCTGTTACGGGAAGGAACAGAGGGCGGCAAGGAAGCGCGCATCGTGAGTATTCCTATTCCCAAGGGCCACCCCCGCACCTTACCTGATCCCCCATCCGTTTGAGAACATGCTTTTCGTTCTCGGGCGTTGAGAACATGCTATTCGTTTTCGGCCTTGAGGATATGCTTTTCGTCCTTGACAAAAGTGCTTGAGAACACGCTCTTCGTTCTCGGACTGCCTTTGAGAACATGCATTTCGTTTTCGGGTGGGCAACGAAGACGGACTCTGTGACCTCCCCGTTGGTGTTGCCTGGAAATATAGCCCTCGCGGCTAGAGCCAACACAGAGACGCAACCAAAGGTATGTGACTTTTCGTTTCACTTGAGCTGACACCACCTGGCCTTGGGTTTTTTCTTCTCCAACTTTTCTCGTTGCCCACCACTCTGCAAAACACACACCAACCACCCAAGCAGGCCCGGGATTACAGAATATGCACAATTATCAAGTAAGTTCTGTTCTGCCCCGCGAGCCACCCGTACCAACCACGACAGAACGTCGGTGCGGCTCACAACCACAACTGCCGGGGTGGAGAGGCGCGGCGGGTAGCGCAAGTAATGATTCGCGCGACGGGTCGAACAGGGCGGCCACCGAGTGGCGGCAGATGGTAAAAACGCCCTTTGTACTCTGCTTGACTCCCTTGCTAAGACTGTATTTGCGATGTAGGGTAACCAGTACAACGCCGACCAGGAGTGCACTCAACGCCTCCGTGCAGGAGATGGTAAGAATACCCGTACCTTTTGTACCCTACTTAACTCCCTGCTAATATACTGTTCGCGAGGCAGCCCGTCCCGCTATATGCCTAGGTGCTGCTTACCCGGCGAGAACTTGCTGCCCACTTGCACGTAGCATGCCCCGTACTGGAGGAGGGGCGGCGAAGCTGAGTTTGGGTTCCCAGGGCCCGGTTTCCCGAACTACTAGTAGTACATATCGTCCTAAGATTTAGGTTGTTATTTACTACCTCAGTACTAAGTGCTCATAATTCCACACCTGTTCGCATCGCAAACGTGGTTTCGGATTATACTGATCCCGCTCCTCACACACCACACATCGACACCGAACCAGACAAGGACCCCCCTTTCCATTACGCGTGACCCCCCTTACGTGAACTGCGAAAAGAACTCCCAGCTCTCAACCGCCGAGAACGTCTGAGCCGCGCCCGGGTCCTTGGGCTGGGGGGTATGGTCCCCATCAAACGCATTCCACACGACGGGGTAGTCACCGCAGCCGCTGTAAGCCGTCTTGACGTGCTTGCCGCCGGCCGCGGGCTCGGGGGGCGACTGGGCGGTGCAACCATTATTGGCAACAAAGCGATCGCGCATCTGGCGGCCGCCGGCAATGGGGAGCACCGAGTCCTTGGTGCCGTGCTGGCCGTAGTAGGCGACGGGCTCGGTGCCGCCCACACAGCCGCTGATCATGGGGTTGCCGGATAGCGCGGCGACGGCACGGATCTGCTTGCCCAGCGAGCAGGCCAGCGAGAAGGACATGGCGGCGCCGTAGCTGAAGCCCGTCGAGAAGCGCAGGTTCTGGTCGATGCAGAGGTCCGCCTCGACCGTCTCCATGACCGTCTTGAGGAAGGTGACGTCCTCCCCGCCCTGGTTGGCCCAGCCGTTGTTGAGCCCGTTGGGCGCAATGTACACGGCCCCCAGGGTGTCGTTGGCGAGCGCGGGGATCCCGTACCACGGCAGGTAGCCGCCGGTGCCGACCGTGACCTGCTGGGCGTTGCCGCCGAGGGCGTGTAGGGTGAAGATCAGTCGGTATGGGTGGCTGTTGTCGTAGTTCTGCGGGAGCTTGACGTAGAACTCGCGGTTTTTGCCGTTGGATGTCAGCTTCAGAGGTGTCGTAGCTGCCGCGTCGGTGATGAGTTTAGGGGCGTTGCCGCATCCCGTCGACGGCGTTGCAGCTGTTACGCCGCGAAGGGCTGCCACGACGAGGGCCGCTGCGGGCAGGATCTGACCCAAGCAGCAAGTCATCTTGTTGTCCTTGTTGTCTAGTATTTCGCCAAAACTGCAGGCTGACAAGCGACAGTCAACCCGTTGCCTCGGGACTCGGGAAGGGTCGAAGGTCCTTGTAAGGAGAGCCGAGGACCCCGAGGTATGTAACGCAGGGGTCCAAAATAGGAAAACGGAAGAGCCTTACGGTCATTAGATTGGTGGAATTCCCCCGCATTTTGCTCCCGCTTGAGCGGCAGCTACCGCGGTATCCAGGCAGACGAGCCTGTGGTGGTGGTTGTTGGTCCTCGGCATGAGGATTCGGCAGGGACAGGGCGTTGTAGATCAATCGTGGGGTGCATTGCTGGGGTCCATGTTGGGGTTAGTGTGACTGGATAGATGCCTTGTATGGGGTACAACCCCTCGCCTACTATGCGGGTGATATAGACAAAATGCATGGCATTCTTTTAAAAGCCGTGGTTTCCAGGGGACGGTCCCCGGCAACCAAGATCGGCTCCTCCATGTCTCACATGGCACCAAACGCTCTGTCTGCACCCTTTCCGTGATTTGGAGCCGAAATCGCGGCTCTGGGGAGATTAAATTGACCTTTGTGCCCGACTACCTGGGACTCAGGCTATTACCTATTCCAGCGACGGGGGCCCTCTTCACTCCCCTGAATCGGCCACTTCATCCGGCCAACCATTGCCGTGTTTGGGTGCCGCACTAACCGATTCTTCACTCCAGTCCGGGGTCTGTGGTTGACGATGCTGGCAGCTGATGCTTAAATATTAG